TCAGGCGATTGACACATTGCCATGAATACACTCGATAACTGCTTGCAGACTTCCAGTGGTCATTGTTTATGTTTGGACTCATGAAACAATAGCAAAATAAAGGGTTGGGCAACTACTCTTTTGTTTAGGCTTGGGAAGAACAATGCAAGCTTTTTACAAATAATTTCAGCTGGATGTACGTTGGTGGGCGGGTGTTGAGAGTTACTAGGCGGCCGTACAACTTGATGGGCGGGCCGCCCACCTAAAACCCCTTGTGGAGAACACTGATTGTTCCTTCAGCGAAAATAGCGAAAATTAATTTCAAGCAATTACAGTCAAACCTGTGTTAAAGGCCACCTGGATACAGAGGCCACTTGCCTATAGCGGTCACAACCGAACAGTCCCTACAAATTTTACATGTAAAGTACCCTGTTTATAGCGGCCACCTGTCTAACGCGGCCAACAGCCAGGCTTCAGCGGCCGCAGTAATCAGTTGAACTGCATATAACGGACATAGTTCCTGGATGTCTTGCAGACTACTGCCTTCCACCTCAGACAACTAATAAGCTCACAAAGGACAAAGTTAGCACGTTTTCACACCTTTCATTCAACCGATGGCTTCGGCAATTATGTTTTATTCTTGTTTATAATTCAGTTTACCACGGCAAGCACACCGTACCAATGGCTTAGGAACACCAAAAACATAATTACTAATTTAAAAGTGTTGCGATAAAAACATGCTGTCATTAATGTTTTGTTGAAATATGTATACCATGGGAACAACTTGGACAGAAGTGCTTTGTACCTGGGATTTTGTTCAATGAATCGAGCAACCACAACGATGACGACCCGCAAAAGTTTTGTGAGTTGCCGGGACACAGTCACGGTCTCTATGCACGTGGCTGGGATGAATCGGAATGGCTACCGTAAATCCCCGATCGAATTGATTACCAACAAAAAAACATAACTCACTTGTTATTTAGTATCGATATTTATTCACTTTGAACTCCTATAAATATCGATAAATACGCATGTAACTGGAACTGATAGCAAAAAAGAAAAAAAATCAACTCAACGGCCATGCCTGTTGTTTATCCATCCAAATAAATTATGCTAATTAGCCTTGCGCATGTGCGTTATTGTTCTTCCGGGTTATGATAACTCGGGTCAAAAAGTAGAGTCGCTTCCGTTACTGCCTATCGATCACTGTGAGGGAATGTGTGTGCAGTATCGTCTCGTTTTTCAACTAAATTCGTTCAACTATTTTGTTTTCTCGGTCGCTACTGCCTCGGTACATTTAGCAATAGATGCTTTTAACAATGATGTTAAATTGACCTCATTTTGCCGGCCAAAGTTGCCAGGCATATTTCACATGTTTCTATTGTTGCATCAGTACAATATCATGGAAGTCGCACAGATTTTGATTGCGCAAAGTAATGGTTTGATTAGGGATCAACCATTTCGTAAGTGTGGTAGGTCGAGAAAATTTTTGAAAAAAATGAACAAAATGTTAAGGGAATTGTGATTGGGGAAGGAAACTTTTTAAGTTGTCACATAACTGGAAGGAGATCCATCACGACAATAGATAAGTGTTTTTTCGTGTACGTTGTAGGATCAATAAAGCACTGCTAATTCTGTCCCTGTCCCTTCTCCTTGAAAGAATTTGCTATAGCCCAGAGACATTCCAATTTATTAGAACAGTTACCAGACCAGATAGTTGGAAGAAACATACAAATTCAGAATAGCCAAGCAAAGCAAGCTCTCTCTTTACTCTCATGTCCCAAATAAACCTACCGGTACGTTTATTTTTTTCCCCGGAAAAAATCCACCCGGTACATTCTTATTTGAGACGGTACGTTTATTTATTTTTCTAAAAAAAATCTTGATTCAAAAACAAAAATCATGCCTTTTTCCCATGGAAAACGAAGCCAAAAGATCGCACTAAAACATCGGTAAATTGCTTCAGGGTTGCTTTTACCATGAGGTCGCTGAACTGTCATATTTAAATGCACTATGGTAATTTGAAAACGTGGGCACCATCCAGCATATTGATGGTTAATTAGCGACTTGACCTATTCGATCAATAAACATGTCTTGTGTGCATGGATAACATGGCATATATCGTATCGCTTTGAGTGTTTACATGTGACTGAAATCATTCGCTTACGATGAAACTAAGTTGAATTTTACTTGCATTTCAACGAATTTATTTTTTGTACGTTATAATAATCACTACTGAGTACTAACCAACACTTCGAAAACAAAAAAAGTTATTCACTTGCGAAATACTGCATGACCGGATTGTGCTACTGTTACCGTGATCATTTTTTTTTTTTTTTTCAAAACTTCATTTAGAATATACTTTTCATTACCAACAAAATTAAAAAAAGTAATGCATATTAAATATACCGAGTATTTTTTGTTGTCATGTGAACATTTTTTTTGATTGACTGTAATTTTCCAATGTTTCGTGATGGCCATTATAGAACCAATTACCCCTTTCACTCCTCCTTGACATCTATTTAAAAGATTATACGATATCTTGCTTTTCGCCAGCCACAAAGGTCACCCTAGACGAACTTAATAGATAGTGCCAACCATTCCGTGCATTTTATCGACACACGGCAGCAAGCAAATCGAGAAAAGTATTGTCCTTGCAACAATTTCGCACAATAGACCACCATTGTACCATGACTGATTAATTATAATATTTATTCAACACTAAAACAAACTACAGTGAGTTGTTCTTTGGTCGTATATAAAAATGAAATAAAATAAACAACATTAAAATACAGTAAAGTTAACCAACTAAACAGAATGCTAAATGAAGCTAAATAATATTACAAACACATCACAATAAACTTGTACGATATGGTACAGTAATATGCAATACACTAGCTACTATTGCTAAAGAGTGGAGAATCATATTAGTGTCAACTATCATGGTGGAATAAATATTTTTGAATTTGGTGGAGATGCTCATATCTCATTCGCATATATTTTTGTATCTATTGCGCAGTTTCAAAACCAGGCCGACTCGGGTCGTGATTGGTTTGCTATTTCATTACATCTTGCGGCCTTTCAAACAGAGATTTGAAGTATATTGCTAGAAATGCATCATTTGTTTTCCATTTATATTCCTAATTACAAGGAACAGTGAAAAGTTTGCATATACACCAGTGAGAGCACATTTTAGAAGCAAGGAAACAACTTACCGGTCATTTTGGAAATTTTCCGAGGGGTATGTTTATTCCGGGGGTATGTTTATTAGATTTTAAAGATTTGTCCGGGGGTATGTTTATTCCCGGGGGTATGTTTATTTGGGACATGAGAGTAGTAGGAAATGAGACTCAAACTGCTGCTGAACTTTACTGTACAAATCTTCAAATTTTTAATTTTTATACTACTCATTATTGTGCAATGATCGATTTTTGTGAAATGATTTTAGTTTACGTAATACAATTTAAAATCACCATTTTTTATTTGTAATAAAGTGTTTGGATACTGTGTACAGTAGTGTCATAGTGTATCAAATGGGGTTGCGAGATCTGTTTTAATACATTGATTCAGTGCCTAATTAATATTCATGAATAAATTAGTGAACCTGTATAGAAAGGCCACCTGTCTAGAAAGGCCAAAATTTCAAAGTCCCTTGGATTGCCGCTATAGACAGGTTTGACTGTAGTTAAGATTAGTTTTTGTTAGCGCCATTCATCAAAATTTTTTTTTTACATGTATGCTATGTCTATAAAATTCTGTATGAGTGATTTGGTACTTCCGCTATATCAATATATTACAATATATTATTTTGAAATCTTGATCTTTTTCAGGGGTTTCAGTATCAGTGGACCTTTATTCAGCAATACATAGTTTGAAGAAAGAAGAGCTATTTAGAATTATTTTTATGGTATATACAAATCATCACTAGTATAGTGTACTAGGTACAAAACATCCATCGGTGTTGATCTATGATGGAAACGATTGAACCGCCATCTTCCAGCATCGCTGGAGACGGTGATGTTGCAGCTGATATCCAAGCAGAACTCGATAGTTTATTAGCCAGTACAGCTGTTGAAAAAACATTTATGTTAGCACCTTCTACTATGTCAATAACGCCAACCAAATCGGTTGTGACCGTGACGACGGTCAGCGATGCGTCAACACCAGAACCAGTTGTAAGCGTTGCAAACATTCCCAAAAGTAATGTTGTGGTCAGTACTGTTGTGTCTTCGCCACAGAAGATAGTGTCTGTTGGAGACAAACCTGTTGTTGTGCCGACCACCCCACCAAGGACTATAGCTGGCATTAAAAGGCCTGCAAGTACAGGACCTGGACAGTATGTGACGAAGGTTATAATTACGAAAAACCCAACTTTAAACAGGCCTATTTCAAATGCAGTTACCATGACAACTGTTTCATTAACGCACGTACCCAGTTCAATGGTACAGACAATAACACAAGGGTCGTCCCCGGTAAAACTAGTGACAATGTCAAGGGGAAATCTACAGTCCAAGGGGATTGTGTTATCTCCATTAAAACAAAGTCCAGGTATGCTTGGAAATAAAATTGCAATCTCACCCTTGAAAAGTCCATCAAAAGTCGGGACGCAACCAATTAGCATCAGCACGCCGAAAAAGATTGCTCCTGCCCCCATGCCAGGGCAGCTGATTGCTCAAGGTCCTTCTGGTGTTGTCAAGGCAACCTTTTTAACCATGTCGACAACATCAGGAGTGAGTACTATGACAATTGCCAAGCCACTTGGATCACAAGTTGCTACAGTCATGGTAAGTAGAGTAATATTTCCTTGTATTTTTCTTCTTTAAAGTGTGTTGGGTGATAGACTGGGCTCAGATATGTTGTGCAATTTCATGCAAATTATATGATACATCTAGGTGTAACACTGCCATCAATGTAATAACAGTAATTCATAAAAGTGCTACCACAGTGGCTTGTGGATGATATATTAAAGCATTTATACTAATTTACACTAATCAACTGCTACCCCTGTGTGCCTAACCCCTGTTGCAGACGATTTGATCTCTATTCTCTTTATTTTATGCAATATTTCTGGCAACGTTTTCTTGTGAGAAACAGTGTTGTGTATTGATGCAGTTTTATTGCACAATGTTGATTATATCGTCATCATTTATAGTTTATAAACACAAATCCTACTTCCTCAGAATTAGTGTCTTATACGTTGTTGGTGTTATTGTACTTGTTGCATTTATATGGTGCATCTGAAATACAAAGCAGGTTTATGTGTACATTATGGTTTTGATCGGTTCACCAAGAGTTTAGTTTTGGCCCCAAAAAAGGTTTTGCGTCTGATCCTGGGAAAAATGAAGCGATGACCAGTTTTAATTTATTTATTTGTGTTGAAACTATACCACCACAAGATGTGTGTTGAATGTTCAACATTTATTTACTAATTCGTTTGAATACACATACATGCATTAACGGTTGATTTGGATCGATAAAACAGAAAACAAACATTTCTCTATTCTATCATATACCAATACGCCCAATTGTGTTGCACATGTTTTAAACTGAGCTTTCATTTGCATACAGAAATTCCCCTTGTGACGTCAGAAGGGGAAGTTGCTGGGTAGCTTGCATTGCCGATACATGAAAATAAGGCAAATTTCTTGTGCTGTTTTCTCATCTTTGACCAAATTGCCACTTATGTACTTGTTCGTCGAGGAAGAATGGACCATAATGAACACATAGTATCAAGTTTGTTGCATGGGGTTGAGTCGGATGCGAAATATGTCCGGTCTGGTGTAGCTGGTCACCGTGGTCGTCACCATCACCGGCGCACGTTTGTACACTGTCGCTGGATTCCGGCGCTGGACAAAATTGAATTTGACGCCTGAATCGTCTTGTTATTTAGCAGTTTACTAGGCACGTCACTACACTGTTTTATTTCATTGATCGTCTGAGTAAAAAAAAAACATTCAAAATTAAAATAAAAAGAGAACATATTTTGACATTCTAAACATTAAATTATAGTGATCAATAAAATAGAGAAATAATAAAAAAACGACAAATCACAGTTACTAAATAAATGACAGCTGCGTGGAAATAAATTTGTTGTAATGGGTGAACGCGTCGGGTCACGACGGGTACAAGTGCGTGAATGGCGGTGTTTAATTGGATAAAAAAAAAAGAAACGCTTATCAAAAAATGTATATCGTTTAAAAGTATGTTGAATGACACAGTGATATAAAAGTAAGGCCCAGGGGTACGGCTTCCCCTCATATTTTAGCATTTGGTGGCACATTTTCAGCGAGAATCGAAAATCCAGAAACAGTCAACCGTTTCAGGATAGGTGGGCGTGGCTACAGCACGGGAAATATCTCGAATATGAGTAATCATTTTTAGCAAAAAAATCAATAACTGCCCATTTCAGTGGGGCACAGATCTAAAATGGGAAACGTGTGGGTGAGCTTTGCACAGACACTTTAATAGTAAGCTATTGCCTAGGGGTTACCGTAGTAATGATACTTTTGTATCACGGTATTGTCTAATACTTTACTTTGATCATGTCTTATTTTTATAGAGTGGTGGTAAAGCAGTTCCAGTATCGTCTAATTCAAATAAGATTCAAACATCCATGCAATCAGTCCAACAGATATTTCCGGGTAGAAAATTTACTTACGTTAGATTGGTTGGAGCAACAAATACCACCAACACACCAAGTGAGTATTGTCTGATGGATTCGTCTTGTACTTTATACTTGAATAGAGAAAATTTGCTATTATAACAAATACTTGAAAATCAGAGATGAAGAAATATGTGTTCTCATACAGATTTTGTTTTTGTGAACACTTCCTATCTGCATAATGTTTCAAAAATTTGAATTCAAAAAGCAAATTCAACTCTGAAAAGTGTGATTTCAGCAGATTGTCTAATTTTGCCAAGAAATTTGAGTTCTTCACTCTGAGTATTTTGCTATACGGAAAAGGGCAATACTTGTCTATAAAAATACAGGCTAACCTTTGTATAGCCAACCACCAAGGGACTCCATTTAAATGGTCTTTATAGAAAAGTGGTCTTTATATGGAGGTTGAACTCGTACAGTTAATATAATATTTCTTCATAGAATAATGAGATGGTATTGTTGCAACACCAACACATTTATTTGAGTTGATCAAAATCAAATAAATTTGACTTGAGGAGATTGTTTTATAAACTGAAAGCTAATTAATTTTATGATCTCTGAACAAAGCAAATCAGTGAAAACGTTGCTGAAAAGGTGGTCAAATAAGACAGATGGTTTTTATATACAGGTTGCTTATACGTTATGCTTTGGAACTGCTTATTCTAAGCAGGTGGTCTTTATATAGAGGTGGTCACTAACATGGGTTTGAATGTAGTAGTCTCAGTTACGAATCTGGTCATTTTCATGGTACGCACCATGAATACAGTTATTGTAATTTGTTAACTTTTCATCCCTAAAAATGTGACAATAAACTTTTCTTTCTGAACCTTTCAATTGTAGGTAAAACCATAGCTCCAGCCATGATGCCCAAAGCAATCCAACCAGCCACTGTATCGATGACATCAAGTCAACCACAGCTTATACAGTCAGCAGGACCACTCAAAATGGCTACCTTGCCTATTGCTCCAGCACAGTCGGTTAGTAACCAATCGCCTTATTTAAAAAACAATTAGTTATTCGTTTAAAAAAAAAAAACCTTGTTATATACAATTATTTTTTTTTGTTCAGCAGGGTGTTATACATGTTGTAAGTCCCCATTTGGACGCATATGGATTGACCTCTGTGTGTACGTCCGAACCTATATCTTAGACATGCCTGGGCGAATTACATTCAAACTTTACCCATACATCATACACATGCACATCAATTTGTACTGAAAAATCATCGAAATTTATCCGCTGTTTACAGATGGACTTTGTTTGAACTTTGTACATACATTGGACATTATGGGTCCTTGATGAACATCATTTTGTTTTTCAGATCAGATTCAAAATGGCCGACTTGTGGCTACTTTGTTCGTCCCTGTTCGGACGAAGTCCGAAAACGGGGACTTATAATTCGGTCTCCGTCCGTGCGTCTGTGCGTTCGTCTGGAGTCATATCTCAGAATCCTTTTGACCGATTCCGTTCATTCTTTCCATGTGCCTAGTACCTTATGCGGGACATATGCACATGCAGTGGTTCAGCGATTCGATTCAAAATGGCCGACTGGCAGCCATCTTGTTTTTTGAAAATGTTGTATTTTGGACATGCTTTGTCAGTTTTTATTCAAACTTGGTACATAGATTATAAGTGTTAGGATACATGCCCCCGACCGTCCGTGGGTTACTGAGTCTGTCCGTCCGTCCGTCCGTCCGTGTGTCAGTCTGTCGAGAGTCATACTTTAGAATCCTGTGGACCGATTCTGTTCATTCTTTGCATGTGCCTAGTACCTTATGTGAGACATATGCACATGCTGTGGTTTAGCGATTTGATTCAAAATGGCCGACTGGTAGCCATCTTGTTTTTTGAAAATGTTGTATTTTACACATGCATTGTCAGTTGTCATTCAAACTTGGTACATAGATTATACATGTTAGGATACATGTTCATGACGATTTATTTCACAATTGGATCAAAGATGGTCGACTGGCAGGCATCTTGTTTTTTTTATATGCGGTATCTTGGACGTGCTCTGTCAGTTTTCATTCAAATTTGGCACATACATGTACTTTATACATGTTAGGATGCATGTCCATGACAATTTCTGTCAAAAACTGGTCAAGGATAGCTGATTGACAGCCATCTGACTTTTTGGTCATACTATATTTCCACAGTTTATGTACCATTTTCATTCTTATTTGGCACTTACATCATACATATCGGTGTGTTTCATAATCAGCTTGCGACAACTCTCCGCTTTAATATGACAAGCACAAAGAGAACTTTCAAAAATTTAATGGGAACTGTGTCATTTTCAATGACTTGTTTTAATTAATGTGGTTCTAGTGCCACATCTCTGACATGCTTTGACCGATCATGTTCACATTTTAATTAATCAATATACATCATCTTGTAGATATACAGATTTATTGCTTTGACGACCCGCCTCAGAATGGCAAACTGGTGGCCATTTTGTTTTAATTAATTCTGTTCCACAGCAATATTTCTCAATATGGACAAGTACTTGTACTATATTACTATGAACAAAACTATATAATTTAGATTTGATAACTAACAGGGACTGTGCCATGAGTCTGACACGACACTATGCTACCAGTGTCCATGAACAAATAAGCTGGTATGCAACTTTTCAATAGTTTTTGACTAAATGATCATATCTCTTCATTGGCTACATTGTGTACAAGTCTCCATCCAAAAGTTTATTTTTGTTAAAACAAACAATTTGGCATTCAAGCTCAAATGTTTGTACACGTAAGTATATGTATTAATGCGTTATTACATCTTCATTGATTGTAGGTTGTCACAGCTAAACCAACTACTACTCATATACCTGTCAGTGTAAGCAGTGGACCTCAAGGAAGGTTGTTGATGCCAGCAAATGCTATGCCATCACTACGGTCGGCTGGTCAATCACCTAATGTTGCTCAGTTACCGGCTGGTACTACAGTATTTGCTACAACTGGGCCTGGGAATATCGTACAAGGCTATGCTGTAGTTCCTGCACAGTTTGTTGCTCAGGTATGAAATTGATTATTCTGTAGGATTTGAAGAGATGTTGATATGTCTTTGGTAAATAGAATATGTTTTGGTAATACTTTTCAAAGCAGTTAAAATATTCACCACCAGTTCCCTCTTTTCATCACAAATTCACAAAATAATTTTTTTTTATTGTCTGTATTTTCATTCAGAAGATTGGGGAAAAAAATTTGTGTCATCCATTTACGTCATAGAGGTGCTTCGAGGACGCAATTTATAGAACAGGTCTATTGCATGAGAGCTTTCCTAATCGATTTGAAAATAAAGACATCACAAAATGAAAATTCACTGTCACTGTTGAATATTTAGCTTTTAAACACTGTAACTTTCAAATTAGTTGTTTTGGTCAAGTTTCTCAATATTCGAAAGGCTTTCTATATGTTGCACACAATACCACTTTAGAATTTGGATACAGGACGTGCTTATTTACAACCTTTTCTTAACCTATGTGTTGTATATTATTCACTTTCACATTATTCCACCTTTCACAACATATGAGGGAGCGTACATGCATGTAAATGCACTAAAATGTAATTTCCACGACAAACCCTGCATGAATCTAAAGTAAATGAGTCCCATGCATCGCTCCTAACTTTACTTATCCTGTGAAATCAGATTCAACAAAAGCAATATTGTGGGCATCATTCATTGAGCTTGTATGGCTTTTTTGTGTAATCCATAGCTTCAACAGCATCAGCAGCAGCAGCAGCCAACGCAACAACATCCGACAGCACAACCAGCGGCTCCAAATCAACCGAATGTTTCTGGTAGCAGTGGTTATGTTCCTATTGTAACCAATAACTACCAGGCGACATCAACATCTAGGCATCCTGTTAATGGGTATGTCAACTCTCTCTCTCTACAATATTTTGCACATAATGAATTCAATGAGAAGGGCTGTCTGCTAGTATTTGCCACAGTAATGTAATTTTGGTCAATTCTGTCAAAGTTGAAAAAAAAAAAAATACTACGGGAATAAGTTTCACTTGTCATAAAACTGTTTTTGAATCACAGAAGAGATTCAAATGTTAATATGCAATGTTTGACATCCCTGTGTCTTTTTTCTATAGTTCTGTACAGGTAGAGGCGCCTGGTACAAGACCCAGAAAGCCATGTAATTGCACCAAGTCACAGTGCCTGAAACTGTAAGTTATCTTCATGTACTGATCTATTCACCAACTTCTCTAAATGTTTATTTTGATATATGTGTGCTTATTCTTCAACAATTTATTTGATCTAGAATTCTGATACTCTAGATCTTTGTTGAAGGAAACTTATTTGTCCTTGCACTGATACACTAATACAATCTTTCAATTATTTATGTAACATGAATAATGTATTGGCTATCTACTGAAATGTTTTGTTAATCTCTTTAAGCTGATTCAAAATAATGATATCTCGGCTGGTGACCAGTATGCTCGAAATGGTGAAATGCTACATGACCACAAAGGGTTGTTAGATTGACGCTCAACTCAAATTTAAGACATTAGGAAACATACTGGAATCAGAGTATCTAGCATAGGTCGAATGATTACCGATGGGCTATATTTCTGAGAAAATGAACTTTAACAATTTTGTGTTGAGTTGAGTGATGAAAGGCAGACATCTCAATAAATATGTAGTTTCTATGGTAACTAAGGAAAATGCATTGTTTTACAGATATTGTGATTGTTTTGCAAACGGTGAATTTTGTAGCAATTGTAACTGTACAAATTGTTTCAACAATCTGGAGCATGAATCGGAGCGTGCTAAGGCCATCAAGTCGTGTCTTGAGAGGAACCCATTGGCGTTTCATCCCAAGATTGGTAAAGGTAAAGAGGGGCAAGCAGATAGGAGGCATAATAAAGGATGTAACTGCAAACGATCAGGATGTCTCAAGAATTATTGTGAATGCTATGAGGTGAGGAAGAAATTGTTACTTGTGAAAACTTCTGCTTGTGCATTGCTTATCCCATCTCCATTATATAAGCTTTCCTTGATCCATGTACATGGTTATGACTCTGAGGGTGACGACAGGAACCGCATTGTCATCTGTGTGTTGTGTATCTTGGTGAGAAATAGCATTCTTTTTGTTTGAAAACGAGGACTTGTGTTTTGACCTTTGTGCATGCGTGTGTGCGTCCGGACCTGTATCTTAGAAATGCCTGGTCCAATCACAATCAAACTTCACATATACATCATCTATGATATTATACATATGCACATCAATTTGTTTCACGATCTGATTCAAGATGGCCCAATGGCAGCCATTTTTGTGCTAAAAATCATCAAAATCAAACATTTCTCAGCTGTTTACAGATGGATTTTGTTCAAACTTGTTATATACGTTGGACATTATAGGACCTTGACGATCCTATAAAAAATGGCCGAATGGTGGCCATTTTTGTGCTAAAAAATCATCAAATATCAAGCATTTTTGGCATTTATGGATGGATTTTGTTCAAACTTGGTACTTACATTAGACATTACGTGTTCCTGATGCATGTTATATAATTTTTTAGATTGGATTCAGAATGGCTGACTATTGGCCATTTTGTTTTAATGAATGGGCTTCTAGAGCCATATCTCTGACATGCTTTGACTGACTATGTTCAAATTTTATATATTCATTATACATGTATTCAAAATGGCTGATTTTGTTTTAATTAATGCTGTTCCAGAGCAATATCTCTCAATACTTGTTTGACAATCAGATACAAATGTCAATCATTTAAATGTTAAACAATCATAATCATATTTCTGACATGGTTATATTCCAGCTATATTACTATGAACAAAACTATATATCTTAAATTTGATAACTAACGGGGACTGTGCCATGCATGGCTTGTTTTTTAATGATTAATCTTGCATATAGGAGACCTGAGAAGCAGAATATGGGATGCAATTAATTGGTGAACCATTTACATCTGGAATAGTACTGCCTACTAGTTTAAGTAGTAGTATTGTTAATGTGACTTTCTATTCACTCAGAACTAAAAACTGAAGGCGTTTTTGTGAAAACTTGTTCATTTTCGACTAGTGCTCTTTAAAAACAAATCTTATAACATCATTCCTCATGACGCTAACTTTTTAGTGCCACATTTTTTTTTTCCAAACACAATTTTTGTGCATCGTTTTTCACATTTTATTGTATTTTTCTACAATTTCTTTGCTAATTTTGGACATAATCAGCTGCAGGTCTTGATTAACATTTTTGAAAAAAACTGAAAAAAATTATGCAGGTTGCGTTTGTGAGAGGATAAAAGTTGATTTTGGCATGCAAGAGATTAATATAAACTAGAAAACTGACATACTTTGTCTTCTGTTCATTTCAGGCCAAAATAATGTGTTCATCAATTTGTAAATGTGTGGGTTGTAAAAATTTTGAAGAGAGTCCTGATCGTAAAACATTGATGCACCTAGCAGATGCTGCTGAAGTTCGTGTACAACAACAGACAGCAGCCAAAACGAAGTTATCTTCACAAATACAAGATCTTCCATCAAAACCTTCAATATTAGCAAATACAGGGGAAAGGTAAGATCAAAGATAAGTTGGTTTTGCACCTCAACAAGCGATTGAATGAGTGAGTGAGTGAGAAATTCAATGAAGCAGCAAATGAGTTAGTGTGAGTGATTCAATGAAGCAGCAATTGAATGAGTGAGTGAGAAATTCAATGAAGCAGCAAATGAATGCGTGAGTGATTCAATGAAGCAGCAATTGAATGAGTGAGTGTGAGAAATTCAATGAAGCAACGATAAATGAGTGAGAAATTCAATGAAGCAGAATTTGAGTGAGTGAATGTGAGAAATTCAATGAAGCAGCAAATGAGTTAGTGTGAGAAATTCAATGAAGTAGCAATTGAATGAGTGAATGTGAGAATTCATTGAAGCAGCAAATGAGTTAGTGTGAGTGATTCAATGAAGCAGCAATTGAATGAGTGAATGTGAAAAATTCAATGAAGCAGCAAATAAGTTAGTGTGAGTGATTCAATGAAGCAGCAATTGAATGAGTGAATGTGAGAAATTCAATGAAACAGCAAATGAGTGAGTGTGTGAGTGATTCAAGGAAGCAGCAATTGAATGAGAGAGAAATTCAATGAAGCAGCAAATGAATGAGTGAGTACAAGTGATTGAGTGAGTGCAAGTGAAAAAAGTGTATATATGTGAGAATGGCTGACTTGCAATTCAAACCTGCTTACACGAGTACCATGTGAGCATGGTTATCATTTGTTATATTAAGGTAGAATTGCAGTTTATTTGGCTTGCATTTTAATTGAGTAATTAGACAATGAAGATGGTATTATATATCCAAAATGTTATATATTTTCTGAAAGCTTATTATACAAACGTTGTAAAACTTGTCTTTATTTTAAATATCCAGAATGCGTTTTTGATTTTGGGTCAAAAATATGCTTTTTTGGACAAAAGTGGTTTAAACAAAATTAGCTTAAAAACTTCAAGTCCGTTT